CTATGACTCAGATACCTCTCTGTTGCTTTATCATGTAAACATTGCAAAACACAGAGCTCTAGGTTAAAAGTGAATTGTATTTTAAAAGATTTTTTTCTTTTGTGATTTTCTTGTTTAGTTTGCTTGTTTTAACACTTTATTAGCACCAGTTTTACAAAAATGACAGAGTCCAAAGTGGTGATTTTTGAAGACGAAGTGGGAGATGGAAGAGAATTCTAGGCCTAGGTAATTCTGATAAATTTAGTAATGAAGAATTACAACTTATAAGTGCAGCAGTGGCCCTAGCAAAATTGAAGACACAACTACAAATCACATTAAAGGAGCAAGTAATTTTAAATGGCCTTTGACATACCAGAGTAAAAAAAAAAATTGTTAAAAAAGTCGCCTTCAGTAAAAAGGTCCAATAAGCAAGCTATTAAGTAGTATAACTTTTTGACTGAAAAAGGAAAAAGCCCAACAGTTGGTAAGAACCTCACAATTCTAATATGTACATTTATAGAAAGGAAAATGCTAAGATAATACATAATGTAAGAAACTAAAAATTTATCACTCTTGAAATTTAATAAATTGATGTAATTGATGACGTCACATGATGCTGGAGAGATTTTGTGTCATAAACCAAAAAACAACTTTTTATATACACTAGTAAATCAACAGATTTCAATAACAAATGTCAAATGGTAGCATTTGTAAGGTATGTAAATTGTGGTGAAATTCAAGAAAATTTTTCGCAATAATAAAATGCTGCCCAAAATAAAAGCCAAGATACATTTACTGTTTTGTCTTTATATTGGAAACAGAAGCTATGTCTTGGAGAAAGAGTATTGGCATCTACACTGATGGTACCCTATCAATGATTTGAGCATTGCTCAACGAGAGGGTTTACCCTCATAAAAAAAGAAAACCCTGATGTATTCACAACATACTGCTTGCCTCTTAGAGAAGTGCTGGTGTCAAAAATTTTTGGAGCTGAAATGAAAAAAATTCTGAATGATGCTACAAAAATGGCTAAACTTATCAAAGGCCAGTTCACTCACAAACATTTAAAAAACTATGTGGAAACCTGGACAAAGACCACAAAATCTCCTGCCACATGCACAAAATCTTATAGGAGATCATTTGTTCTGGGAGAGGCCAGCTTCCATGTCATGAGAATGCTTAAGCACTCTGTAAAAAGGCCCAGGTGGCAAGGAACTGAGTCCTCTTGGCAAGAGACAGAATTAGCTTGTTAGGCCCATGAGTGAACCATCTCAGAAATTGGTCCTCCATCTCCAGTTGTGCCTTCAGATGACTGCGGCCCAGTCAACATTTTGATTGCAACCATGTGAGACCTTAAATCAGAACCACCAAGCTGAACTGCTCCTGAATTTCTGATCTACAGAGATTATGCCAAATAATGTTTATTGTTTTAAGCTGCTAAGAGTTGGGGGTAATTTTTTATACAGTAAGAAAAAAAATAATACCAATTTTGTTTCTTAACAGGATGTCTGAGCTAAAAAGTGAACTGTGGGAATTCTTTCAGGAAAATAGACTAGATTTTGCCAAATGGTTTGAAGATCAAGAATGGCTGCAGAAACTAGCCTATCAGTGGATACTTTTCATCACATGAACTAGTTGAACAAGTATCTCCAAGGGCCTGGAGAAAATATTTTAATTTCAAGTGACAAGATTCTTGGTTTTAATTGAAATTGAATCTTCGAAAAAATCACATGGCAAAAAGAAATCTTGAAATAGTTCCACTGCTGCTTGCACTTGGGTGAGGAAGTCTCAAGTGTCAAGTTGAGACTAAACCACCTGAAAACTGCAGAACAAAACTGAACAGTATTTTCCCTCCCTTTCAACACAAGTATATGACTGAATGAAAGGCTCCTTTCTCTGAATCTTCTTTTAGCCTGAGCACCTGACTTTGAGAGAAGAGGAAAAACTTTGTGAGTTGATGATTATGAACACAAAATGAAATTTGTACTTCTACAGGTTCGGGATTTCTGTGAAAGAGCAATCTTCCATTCATAGGAAAGTAATAAATATTTTACTGTACTTTTCAACTTCTTGTGTAAGCGTCTTATCTAATGAGCATTAAGAACAAAGACAGAAATCACCTCATTTGGTGAAAATGAAATCTGCATATGCCAATCTCAAGATCAACTCAGAGTTGAGAATATACATGGCAGAAGACAAGCAAAGATTTCATACTAAATAGGTAAATTTTATTATTTTTAGTTTTGAAAAGAACATTTTATGCATATATAGGCCTATAGAGATTAACATTCACTAAAATCAATTTGCTAATCTTTATTAAATTAAAGGGGAAATTGAAGTTTCCTCATCCACTTAATTTGCATCAGAACTGACATCCTTTGTGAGGAGGGGAAAACTACAGAGTAGGCTAATAAGCTGAATAGAAATAAATATAGATTCACAGAGAAACATCATCCATTACTCAAAAGAGAACTGGGTTGCATGGCAATGTGAACCACTGAACTATACGCTTAAAAATGATTAATACGGTAAAGTTTATGTTAGGTGTATTTAACAGTAAAAAAAAAAAGCATTGATAATTATTATTGGGTCATTATGTCTACAACTTGCTGATCATGTTTATATATATAGATATAGATTTATGCAGGGGTTTCTGAAACATGAAAATTATTTCAAGGGCTCCTCGAGGGTAAAAAGAGAAAAAGGCCAGTCTAGTGGATGGAAAGTAGAGCTCCTCCAAGCAGGAAATGTTCAACAATGGCCGAGAAAAAGAAGCAAGGCAATGATAATGGCTTGATGCAGCAGAAGGAAGCTGTAGTACAGCACAGGAGAGAAATAAAATTAATTATATAGAAGGCCCAATCATTGGACAGATTTTACTTTAGATTTATTGCTAAAGGAAACAGGGAGCTATATGAGGTCGTGGGATGGCTATGGTATGAGGAAGCTGTTTGAGTAAAGTATGTCATCACATGCAGTACAAATGGGAGGAAGAAAAGTTAAGCCTGGAAGTATTTATTTTGAGGCAACAAAGATGCTAAGAATGTAAGAGGTAATTGTAGTTCGTTGTTATTATTTCTGTACTTTTAATACTTGTAGATTATATTGGGTGATTTAGGGTGGGATAATACAAAGTGTGATAGTGACAAAAAGAGGACTGTAATAACAATACCAAGCTGCCTGTTGGGAGCTGAGCTAAATTGGCCAGCTTTGAGATAAAGTATGGAGCTGAGCTAAATTGGCGAGCTTTGAGATAAGTGGTACTAAAACTATTTTAATCACTCAGTGCTTTCAAAGAAGGGAGTTGTGGAAACTGCATCTGTTTTGCAGGACAGGTAATTGGGCTGACCTTGAGTCTTGACTGCTGTTTTCTCATTGCAATGCTATAAGTAGTGTGTTTTGAATAAACTCGGGGACACAGACAGAGACAGCTTGTATCTGTGCTCCCTCCTGCAGTTCTGTCTGTCTTCTTTCTTTTCCTCAGTCCATGCTCCCCCTTTCAGGTACCCTGAATTACTTCGTTGGCTGGCTCCGACAGCTGCCTTAGAAAGAATAGAAGTTGATAGCTTTGGATAAAAGAGACTGTAAAGGCTGGGATGGGCATGGTGATAACGATGATAGAGACCGAACGCTCAAAGATCTGAGTCCAAAGATTCCGAAACCAAGAGTATGATGCTACCATGAGGGCAGAGAACTGGAATAATGAACACTTTGGAAAGAGGAAGTGGAGGGGGCAGAAAAGGACTTACAGCTGTTGAGAATCCAAAGTTCTAGATTGTTCCTCTAATTAGGTGGAGAAATTACTTCACCTCTGAGTGTAAGTTCCTTACATGTAAAATAGAGTGGGACCAGGTAATCTTTTTTTTTTAAAATAAATTTATTTAAATTAGTTTCAAGTATACATTGGTTAGGACCAGGTAATCTTGAAGGTCCCATAAAAGTTCAATGGTTTCATCACACTGAGTTGGAGATAACGGTAGAACATCAAATGGAGAGAGAAACACTGAATATAAATGTTAAATGACACAAACAGAGCAGGTACCAACCCCCACCCTCTTTCAGAGGTAGTCGACTGTCAAATATCAAGGTAAGGTCTCAGAACATTCGGGTGTAAAAGAGACCAACCGAATTTAATAAGAGGTCATTAGCATTCTTTAAAGATAGAAGGGGAGAAAGGCTTGTAGTAGAGACAGTGTACAGCCTGGCAGTGTGCAAAACGTACTTGACAAATGGATAAAATTCGGTATAAAAGATAAAAATATAGTTTGGCTTTCTATTAGATAACAGTTTCTTTAAAAGTACACGTGCGCGCGTTTTCTTTTTTTCTTCCTTTAACGAGGGAAAGCATAGGACAAAAGGACGGGCACAGTTCAGCCCATAATCGTGCGTACTCCCAAAGATACAGAAGGTAAAAGCGACTCGAAAGACGCAGACAAGCCCTCCCAGAGAGCCGACGCGACTAGATACACCTCCGGGCAAGAGGACGGCGCAAAGCTCCTCGGAGATGTGGGCTGGAGCGTGAGCCACCTGATCAGCGACGGGATCATCTCGCAGCCAGAAAAGCAAGGACGCAGGCGAGTCAGCATCCACAAGGCACCTGCAGGGCTGCTAGGAGAAGGGCGGGGCCTCACCCCAGACGTTTCCTAGGGCAACACCACGGCGGCACTTCCGGCAACGTTGAGATGCAACGGACGCCGCTATTATACGTCACTTCCTCGGCTCGTCGATAGGTGAGTTGACCTAACTGCCGTAAACCAGTGGTTGAAGCTGTCTATTATTGCTACTGTTCCGGCGCTAAAGGCTGATTTGGAAAAGTGACAGCGTCGTTAGTTCCGCAGGTAACTGTTACATTTTCTTTTTTGTAAACTAGTTATGCGAATTTTTGGTCTTTTTTTTTTTTTCACTTTGTGCTGATACGGTGGCCGATGAGGCTAGTGTGCGGCGGAAGTACCGGGCGGGTGGGTGTGCGCACCGAGGTAGAGGTGCACGTGGCGCGGGTGAGTGGCGAGAGGGAGCGGGAGGATCCGGGAATGCTGGGCGCGCAGCCCAGCTGTGCGAGGGACAGAGGAAGGGAGGAGGGGACAGCGATGTGAAGACCTTGTTCCCTGCTGGGAGTGGAGGCACCACCCAGGGTCGACGAGGCTGGTGAGGGTCTGTTGACGCTCACGGAACGATGGGGCGGGGACACTCGTCACCCTTCGGGTTCGTCACTGGTGGTTTGGCCATGGGTTAGGTGGCAGGGTTGGTATTATTATTACTGTCCCCTTTTATGGTGTTCTGACCGAGGCTCAGAGGGGTTAGCAGGTATACTCAAAGGCCACAGTGACCAAAGTCACGCACTGTTTTTCTCACCAGGTAGGAGCGAACATGTCTTTTCGCGGCGGAGGTCGTGGAGGCTTTAGTCGAGGTGGCGGCTTCAATCGCGGCGGCAGCAACAACCACTTCCGAGGTGGAGGCGGCGGTAACTTCAGAGGCGGCGGCGGCAGAGGAGGATTTGGACGAGGGGGTGGCCGCGGAGGCTTTAATAAAGGCCAAGACCAAGGACCTCCAGAACATGTAGTTTGTATGTCGGCTCCAAAGCTTAGCCTACTTGGGGGTTGGGGAGTAGAGCGAGGTGCAGAGGAGGGGATGCGGTTTTGTGTTACTAGTAAGTTTGGGAGTCAGACGCTGTAAAATAGATCCAGCAACTCACCTGCGGAGTTAGTTGCTTGGTTGGGGCGTCAAATCTGTGATGCTGTAAACCGACTTATAATCATACTGTAGAATATAAGGGGGAGATTAAGAAAGCCAAAGGACCCTCAGAATGCATATTAACCAATATGCATTCTGAGGTGGAACTTGAGCTTGAGCTGAAAAGAAGATAGTAAATAGATAATATTGTGAGCTGAGCCCAGTTATCCCCATTTTACGGATAAAAAAAACTGATTCAGAGTTGTTTCTTTGCTAGGGTCATAGTTAGGAATAAGTAGTCAGTAAACGATATATTTGCGATACAAAGCAAGTTTTCTGACTCCAAAGCCAGGGCTTTCAATTACTAATATGAGAAGTGAGAAAAATTATTTTGCTTGGAAGGGAGGCAAACTATAGAGAGAGGAAGTCAAGAAAAAGACCTAATCAGAGCCATTTTGGAGTAATTGTTAATGAGGTAGGATGAAAGCCATAGAAAATGAGAAAGATTTGACAGTAGAAACCTGCATCAAAGAGGAGAAAAGATGAACACAGCTCGATATAAAGAATAGGTTGGATCAGTATGCAAGATGGTTTGAAGAAGGTAATGGCTAGAGACAAGGTCCTAGCTAACAAACTTTGCAACAGTCCATGCATTGAGACTATGGTGAAAGTGAGAAGGAAAAGGAAGGGTTAGATGGGAGAGAGATTTCAATGGCAATAGACTCAGTAGAACTTGGCTAATACTGGGAATTATTAAAAGGTTCCAAGTTTTGAATCTGGGTGATAAGGATGATGAGTTGGTTTTGCAGTTAGGTGATGAGTATTTTGAGGCGATGGTCGGTTAGAAATAAAGGTAATTATTTAGAGATTCCCGACTTCCCTGAAAAAGATTGAAGAGTCATTGATGAAGAGGTGGTAGTGGAAAGGAATAAAAGGGGAGGAAAAAAAGAGGAGAACAAGGAAGATTCATTTTACAGTTAGGGATTGGGGAGGAGGAGTAGACAGTAAAATGCAACATAGTGTTTAATCAAATATTACAATAAAATAACTTATAGGTTGAGTGGTCTCAATGTGCCAGGCACTTTTCTAAGCACTTGATGTTTATTATTGCATTTAATCCTCACAATACTATATGTTAGGTGTCAGAACTGTTATTAGCCCTATATTAAAGATGAGGACACTGAAGCAGAGAGGTGAGACCCTTACCTCAGATCACATGCTACATTGTTGTTGGAGTTGGTGTAGCAACCCAGGAAGGCCTTTATTCCTCAGAGAAGAACAGATATGGGGAAATCCCAAGTAGCCAAGAAGAAAGCTTCTGGAAGAGGTTGGTTAATATTTTCTGAAATTGTTTTATGTTTTAATGTTTTCTTGCCCCGTTTCAGTGTTAGGAGAATTCCTGCATCCCTGTGAAGATGACATAGTTTGTAAATGTACCACAGATGAAAATAAGGTGCCTTATTTCAATGCTCCAGTTTATTTAGAAAACAAAGAACAAATTGGAAAAGTGGATGAAATATTTGGACAACTTAGAGATTTTGTATCCTTTTTAATTGGAAAACCTAGTGATTTCATCAGAAGATTACCATTTGCCTTTTCTGGAGCTAAATATTGATTAAATTAAACTTATTGCTTCATTAAATTGGGGAGAGTATTGCTAACATTGGACCATAAAGGAGAATAAATAGAGGAGGATGTATTTCCATATGTATCAAAGAGATAGGCCCTTTTGGGAAGGTTGTAAAAATGATTTGCCGCAAGTGCTGCAGGATGGAGGTACTTTGCTTTGGATATGATGGTGCCACTGACATACTATGATGGAACTGGAAGTTTTAATATTCATTTCCTTTTAAAACTCCTTTCTTTCTTTTCCTAAACATTTCTATTTATCCTAGCCTTGTTTTTAAAATTACACATGAATTGAGAAGGTTACCATCTTTGATCTTAACTGTTTTTTTCTTAATAAAATTAATAGTATTTTTCAGTTAAATTGTCAGAAAACATGAAGGCATCTTCCTTTAAAAAACTACAGAAGGTGAGTCAAGCTTATGATTCCTAGGATCCTGGGTTTTATAAGTGAATGACCTACCTCAGAGCAGTCCTCCTTAGGGCACTTGAGACTCCTTCAATATATCACCAGTAAAGCTCTTAAATTGAGATATTCTATACTTAGGACATTGTACTTATCTTTAGGAGTCATTTATTTAATACAGACTTTCAGAAAGTAGTCCTTGCTCTAATATGAATCTGTTACTGCTAGAGTATGTTTTATGGTTTATGTAAAACTTTTGTATTGAAAAGCCTTGCATAACCAAACATTCTAAGTAAAATGTTAAATTATAAAGCTCATATGTGAGAAAAGTCAGATATTAAATAATATTAAAAATGCTTCAGTAAGAAATATATGTAGCTATGAGCATGTTAGTAGTGGAGCCAAATTTAGTGTATCGATTATTGGAGGAAGTGAGCTTGAAGCTGAGACCTAAAAATTGACTAGCAGTTATTCCCAAACCTGACTGCACAACAGCATTATCCGGGGGAGCTTTTAAGATGTATTTCTGGATCCCACTTCTAGACATTTGACTCAGTAGGTCTTAGGTAGGGACCAAGATTCAGTTTTAAAAAGGAAAGCTTCTGGATGACTTTGATATATTTAGGCTAGCCCTTGGGAACCACTGTGCTAGTCAAGGAGGAGGAGGAAGAAGTGCAAAAAACATGTGCCAGTCTCTGAGACAGTAAGCCACTTGAAGAGTCCAAAAAAGGTGGGGGTATAGCTTGGACATAGAACATTTGGGACAAGTGGGAAAGTTGTGAATTAAGACAAGAGATGTCGGCAGGGGCTAGATTACTT